AAGCTCCGAATAGCCTTCCTTCGAGATCGACCCGAGTCGGGTAGCTCGGTTATCCCTTGCCCATCAAATCTATACCAAACAAACGGCGCCGTTGCCGGGGAAGGCAAGTAGGACGCCTAGTTTGCTATTTGATTGTCTCTTTTTCTTGTGTTTCTCTTGATTTTTGTGCTTTTTGCTTAATTTCCGTGTTTCTCTTGATTTCTCTTGCTTTTTGCCGACAATTTGTGTTTGTTTCTTGAACTTTATCTCGTTTCCCATTGATACGTTCACGGGTATAGTGGTTGTTTGTTTGTATGCGAGGTAGACGACGAGGTAGACCCGTAGAGGAGACACCATCGATCGACCTTTTTGTGATTTGGACGATCATTTAGAAGTCCGTTAGACAAGATTTAACTAGGCGCAGGCTAGATAAACACCTCAAATATTGAAGGGGCGAAATATAAAAAAAAAAAAAAAAAAATCAAAGTGATGGGCGTTGACGATGAGGTTTACAAATCACCGTCCAAAACCTCATTCGTGCCTTTCAAATTCGAGGTTTTAAATAAAAGCACGTGAATTAAAACAAAATGCAGAGAAAGAGTGAGACTTGTTAGAGACACTAACAGCAGCCCCAGTTGTTAAATAACAGTTTTATAAAACTAAAACTAGATCCAATGGCTATAAATAAATGATAAATTAAATATTTCTTATCAGTTCATATTCAGCACAACAATTTCTATCAGACTTGCTAACTCAATATTTGATTACTGTTCAAAAATTCCAATGTAAACCCACAGAAACATAGCATATACCATACTACACATTCGTCTTATGATTCTCACAAATTCGACAACATACAGAGACCTTAATAATAATTTCACCTCAAATCTCCAAACTCATGACTTCAAATTGAGAATTCATATCAGGTTCCAGAATTGAGAATTCAACATGGCTTCAAATTACAAATCCATGTTCAGCTATTCGAACATTCATAAGCCAGAACACATATACGGCACTCGAAACACATTATCGGTAAACCGAACCACAATTTCGATAACTCGAATCGAGAAACGATAATACAACACTACAAAAAAAAACTGTTAAAATTTTCCGTTGGAATTCTTTATATTTTCCGTTGGAATAACTATTGCAATGGATATTCCTACGTATAAAAATTCGTAGTAAAAACAGCCGTCGGAATAGCTAAAATCCAACGGATAATTCTATGGAAATAAATTCTTATAGCTATTCCAACGGAAAAAAACCGTTGAAATTCCTCAACTATTGAAACATAGCCAACACTTATTCCAACATAAAATTAAGATTGTTGGAATATTTATTGGAATTTCCAAAGGAAATTTTTGCCGTTGGAATTGAAGTGTTTTCTTGTAGTGCAAATAATTCAATCGGGCACTCGAATAAACAATCGGTATCCCAATCGCTCACTTCGGAGGTTAAGGAGATTACCGGTCACCGAAACAAATCGGACGGAGTTCAGCTCGCCGTCGTCGTTGCTTGCTGGACGGAGTTCAGCCGTCGAATGTCCTGTCGCCGCCGCTCTCTGTCAGTTGGTCACAGTCGCCGCTCGCCTTCTTCTCCTCGTTGCCGGCCGGAGTGTGCGTCGTGGATTGACAGAAAATGGGATGTCGAAACGTAACGGAGGTCGCCGGCCGGGTTAGGGGTCGTCGGTCTCCTTCTTCGTCGCCGGAGTTATCGCCGGACAGAGCTTCGGGGATGGCTGCGGCTCACCGGAACGTACGGATGTTGCCGGTGATGAGGAAAAACGAGGACGAATTTTTTTTTTTCAGAAATTCATACATAGTGGGCTGCAGTGATTGAAAACTTCATAAGGGTAGTAATTAGGAGCAGAATTCTATGACACCACATGTGACACCATATTATGGTGCCACAACATGATGTCACACATTATAATTGGTGTCAGAACTATCACACATCATGTTGTGGCACCAATCATAATGTGCCACATCATGTTGTGACGCCATATTGTGCCACATATGGTACCATAGAATTTTTGTATTTATAGCCATTGAATCTAGTTTTAATTTTATCTAATCCAAATGTTGTTATTTAACAGTTGGAGCCAGGGGCGTAGCCAGGAAATTTTTTAACCTGGGGCTGCATATAATTGTAGCTATTATTAGAACCTTCTGGACATGGTCATGAGCCGACCCAGCCTGTCGGTTCGGCCCGAACCGACACAAACTGACCCATTTCTTGAACCGGTCCGTGGTTTTGACCAGTTCGATTCATGTAAAATACCTTATAGTTTATACATTTTGAACATACAGTTTCGGTTCCGGATTGAAATCGGAATCCGAGGTTCGGCCTTTTTTTAAAAAAATATTATTTTAATTATTTTTTCTTTTTTTTTTTTTCTGAACCGGCCGACCAATAACCGACAGTTCAATGAACCGACCCGTACATATGTTCACGTCGGTTCATGGTCCTCCAACTCTCGACCCGATATCCACGGTTTCGACCTGTAATCAGTTTTGGTTATGATTAGAAACAAAATATCATTTAACATATGTCCGTTTGAATTGAAAAAACTCAATCTCGAATCGCTTTTATATTTAAACAAGCCAAACTCAAATAGCTAATCGAATTTTGTCGATCAAACAAATAGAGTCGAACATGTTTGCAATCAACTCTGTACGAGATTTCTCTTTGTCTAGGAAATGATGCCGAGTTAATTATTAGAGGCGAAATCAACAAAAAAAAAAATAAAATAAAAATAAAAATAGATAACCGACTGTGGACTGAGACGAACCCAATTAGATAGCCCGTTTGAAAAGTCTGTGTCAAACTTAATTATCCAACTAATTTGATATTTATCAAGTCAACCGATTAAAAATATAAAAGGCAAGAATGTGTTGGGTCACATTATAAACTCAATTGATAAATCTAATAAGGTCATAGTTATCATTTTACAATAAAGAATTGTATTTTTTCTTCACTATTTTTTTCACCGTTGTTGTCAGATTAAAAATTTTAACTTGAAGATATTCTTGAGGCATTCAGCCTAAAATTAAATTGGGCTACATAAAAAATTACATGGGGCTAATGGGTTTATGTATAATTTTTTTAAAAAGAATAAGGCTAGCAAAAATAACATTAGCAAAAAATTACATGGGGCTGGAGCCCACCCTAGCCTTAGGGTGGCTCCGCCCCTGGTTGGAGCTGCTGTTAGTGGGTCACAACAGCCCCAACCCCATAGTGGAAAATCTATGAGGCTTGAGGTAGAAGATGCGGGGTTTTGTGATTTTTTTAAAAATTTTGGCCACTGGCTTGCTAAAATGGTTCAAATTGTAAATTACAATAAATTTTTCCTAAATGCATATTTTAAATTTATTCGAAAATAAGTAATTTCAAATATAATTGAACCATTTCTCAATTTAATTTTTAAAAATTACTTTGAAGATATGAACAAGAATAAACTCATGTAGACTTGTAGTAGCTAAATAGTGACTAATAACATAAATATGAGTTTTGAAATCCTAAATTGAACGTAAGAGAATGCGTAAGAGAATAATATCAGTCCTAAAAATTATAGTATTATGAATGCGTAAGAGAATAATAATTTAATTATAATTTAGTTTTTACTTATTTCATTGAACTAATCATATCAATCATAGAATTATAAAATGTCGGCCGTGGCCCGACCCGTGACCCGGTACCGGCCCGGTACCGGTACCGGCATGAATAGTGCCGGTTTTTAGAACCGGACCGCGGCCAATCCGGTCCGGTTAAGTGTCACGGTTTTTTTTTTGTCCCGCCGGGCCGGGTCGCACCGGTTCACGTTGCTTTTTTGTGGATTTTTAAGGGCCGTACCGGCCCGGAACCGTCGAGACCCACCGGGCTGTTGAACCGGCAGTTCCGGGCCGGTTCTATGAACCGGCCCATATGTTTTTTCGGGCCGGTTACGGGCCATAATATTGAGGCCCGCCGACCCGGCGGGCCGGGCCAGGCCGGGCCGCGACCCGGCACCTGGTCACCTCTATGAGTAACAGAATGGTAATTTAATTTTTATGTTAATGCTTTTTTTTTTTTTAGGGTTTCCATCAACTAATCATGCAATTGTGCGACAACATTGATTACAATTTACAAGCTAATGTGTGTTATGAACTTACTTATAACCATAATAATCCAATGAGTGCATTTTTGTAAGCTAATGTGTATTATGAACTTACTTATAACCATAATAATCCTATGAGTGCATTTTTGCTTGGTGTTACCATCGAATCTTGTATACTTTGCTCTTTTTTTTTTTTTTTTTTTTTTTTTTTTTTTTTTTTTTTTGTATCAATTGTCAAACCATTGACTTCTCAAACTGAAATATTAAGGTCGAAGTTGAAGCACATTTATTACATTTCCAGACAGCAAAACAATTGACCAAACATATATGCATTGATATGGGGAAATGTCTCTCCAGAAAACCCAATAGACTTTATTAGGGTGTCTCCAATGGTTAGCTATTTGGCTAGCTATTATGACGTGGATAGGGGAAAAGTAAGAGAGAGAGTAGTCACTAGCTACTAACAAATAGCTTATCTATTTCACGTAGCCCAATATTATGTGAGAGGAGTATGTGGGTCCAATAGTGTAAAATAATTATTTTTCTTATCTCTCACATCCATGTCAGCTGACTATATAGCTAGTAATAGCTATTACCATTGGAGATGCCGCTACTTCAGTTTTAGCTGATCTATAAGAGGTTTTTAGGCAGTTGTATATATATTTTCACGTAGAGATACAAATAAAATTAACCAAACAGCACTTGGCTAAGAACAACTCTTTGTATCGGCTCTGTAACGTTTATCATAAACCCTATTCGACTATGGCACGCTAAATACACGTAAAATGGAGGCTCAAAAACGAATGCAACCACAGAGAATGGAGGGTTGTATCCAGCATGGCACCAAAATTGTGATACTTTATACCATTTTGGCAAGTCACATAAATAGCAATGCCATCGCCATATATAATATGCTAATGGAGAATTAAGATCTGCTAATAGCCTCTGGCATCATTGTCCCCCTGCTTAACCAAAAATATAAACAAAGTCTTTTGAGTAAAGGAAAATTAAGATAAAAAAACATAATCAGGTAATGCAGAAAATGAGAATAGAAAGTTATTTATTAAAAGCATCCTAAAATTTGGAATCCTCATTAGAAATTGTGATTGCCATTAGAGACATTTGAGCATTTGACAAATGTTTGCATTTGATCCAAAATCTATTTTTCCAAGTACAAGCATGGGTGATCTACTTTTCCACAGACAAAATTTTATTTTTATTTTTATCTTTTTTCCATACGAACTTCAAAAGTCGGCGTACAAAAAAAGTACCTGGTGGGACAATCTTGCCTGAAATGCCCCTAATCAGCAGGAAGAAGTGCCATCTCAATATCTTGTAGCGATCTTCCTTTGGTTTCAATAACATGCCTCTTTACAAACACCACAGACATCAAGCAAAAAGTTGCAAATACGGAGTATAGAATTTTGGGGCCCAGCAGCTCCAGCAGACGAAGAAATAATAATCCCACGAAAAAATTATTCACCTGGTGACGAAATAATTGTGAGACCTCCTTCATATATATATATATATATATGAGAGAGAGAGAAAGAGAGAGAGA